AGTTTGAAATGGCTAAATAAATTAATAACTGAATAAGTAAATCACACTGTCAATCAATTAACGGACAATCGGTCAATCAATCGATCGATCAATCACGCAATTTACAATCAACCAAATACGGAATTCGTATACGGAATTATAATCACGTTGGCTGTTTGTTATTGTTACATAATGTAACATGTGACCTTCAAATTTAAATCATGTTGGATAAGTGGACATTATGTAACTTATGTAACAAGAATCTAAATCCATTTATAATAGTTGCAATGAATAATTCATTACATCCATCATTTAATTCGTTACATTCAGTCCTGAATTCGAATTACAAATTGTTTTTTTTTTGTTTTGTTTTGTTTCTTAATTTTTTGAAAAGAAAGCAGAATAAGAGGAATTTTACCGTAAAATATAACTGAAAATACGTTCTAAACCGAAAGAAATAGCACTTTGGCTTGGTAAGAATTTAATTTAGCACAAAACCAACATGCAGGTGAGCACCGTTCTTAGTTGTTGTATATGGTTGATATTCGATAAACGGAGGTATTAATTGAGTGGTAAAAATTGTAACCAAAACATAAATGTTGCATAAATAAGCAAATTGTTTTAGAATCAGCATCTAAAAAACAGTGTATATTATGTGCCTGGTTTGACATATTCTTTGTCATTTATGTACAACTTGCCGTTATGAAAACGGACACGTTTACCATCCTTATAAACTCTATTCATTACGTCGCGGTAACTTCGTTTAATGTTGTAGTCTGCTGGACAAACATCCACTTGCACATTAGGAAAACTTTGTTAGAGGCAGATAACTGACCCAACGGCTTATTGATTCGAAGATTGTATCCGTCGAGAAATCAAAAATCAACATGAAGCTGAGATTAACTTCCTACAACTGCCGTGGAGTTCAATCCTCAATTCAATCTGTAAAGAATATTTGTGAACGAAGTGATGTTTGTTTATTGCAGGAGCATTAGCTCATAAAATCAAAACTGTGTATGTTATCAAATGTTAGTAATGATTTTAATGCAGTGGGTGAAACTGCTATGAATGAAGAGTGTGGCATAAGGCTTAATCGGCCCTATGGTGGAGTTGCGATATTATGGCGAAAAACTTTGTGCAATGTCA